CACGAGGTCAGGAGATCGAGACCATCCTGGCTAACATGGTGAAACCCCGTCTCTACTAAAAATACAAAAAAAAACTAGCCGGGCGTGGTGGCGGGCGCCTGTAGTCCCAGCTACTCGGAGGCTGAGGCAGGAGAATGGCGTGAACCTGGGAGGCGGAGCTTGCAGTGGGCGGAGATCATGCCACTGCACTCCAGCCTGGGTGACACAGAGCGAGACTCCGTCTCAAAAAAAAAAAAAGAAAATATTCAGAAACAAAAATGTGTCTATACTGAATATATAGAGACCTTTTTTTGGGAGGGGTTATTATTTCCCAAACAATGCTGTATAACAACTATTTACATGGCATTCACATTGCATTCAGTATTATAAGTAACCCAGAGATTAAAGTATACAAGAAGATGTTTTCGAGTTATATGCATTTTGCATCAAGGACTTGAGCCTCTCGGATTTTGGCATCCATGGGAGGTCCTGAGGGACGCTTGTATGTTGTGTTAGCACTGCCTCTGTGGAGGGAGAGACTGGGGGAAAGGATCAAGGGGTATTTACTCTGCACTGTTATGCACATCCTTTTAACTGTTTACGTAGTTTGCCAAGTGCATGAATTTTTGTGTGTGTGGTGGGGGCAGGGTGGGGACAGTCACTCTGTCACCAGGCTGGAGTGCAATGGGGTGATCTCCGCTCACTGCAACCTCTGCCTCCCAGGTTCAAGTGATTCTCCTGCCTCAGCCTCCCAAGTAGCTGGGATTACAGGCACGCACCACCAGGCCTGGCTAATTTTTGTATTTTTTAATAGAGATGGGCTTTCGCCATATTGACCAGGCTGGTCTCGAACTCCTGGGCTCAAGTGATCTGCCTGCCTTGGCCTCCCAAAGTGCTGGGATTACAGGTGTGAGCCACCGTGCCCAACCATGAATTAATTTTTAAAATAAGGCCCTATCAGCTTGTCACATGGTCCCCTACTCGGGAACCTTTATTTCCAACGTCCTGCCTGATTTTGTGTAGCCACCTGCACTCTGACCAGCCCCCAGAGCAGCATCTTTCTTTCCCCTTTGCAGCCCTTTCCTGTCTCCCTGACTTTGTACTTTTCTCCTTTGTTGTAAAGTATTTCTCCTCCTTTGAAGACCACCCCACATAACTGAGCATTCATTCATTCATTTATTCATTTCTCCCCAGTGTTCTCCTTCTCCAGTAGTACCTTGGGCTGAACAATAGTATTTGTCTTATTTCTCCAGCTGTAGTGTGGTTCTGTTTTATCCCTAGTCAATGAATGTTTAATGTAGTGTATTTCATGCCAGCTTTACCACTAGTGCTGGAGTGGCGGAAGAACAATACTTGGCTATTCAAGAAAATCAAAGCTGATCAGAGATGGATAAATTACTGGTTTATTCAGCTGTTTATGAAATACATACTATGTGGCAGTTTAGACAACTAAGTTACAGTTGTCAGCAAAATAAAAAAGGGGGTTGCATGCTAGCAGGTCAGATAAAATAATTCAGGGGATAAGTACCACGAAGAAATGGGTAGGTGGTAAGTGATACGGGTTTCACTCTTAAGTAGATGGGCAGGTTATGCAGGGGGAGGAGCCTGATGCACAGTTCCAAAGCTCAGCTATCTACAGTGGACACGATGAAACCAGGGACATGTCCCACCATTTCAGTGGTCACAGGCAAGAGAAAGGGCTCTTCTTGTGGATCTTCGGATCCCACGTAACATCTCACCTTCCTAGGCACCCCGACTCCCCTGCCGGATTTAAAACAGACCTCAGCCCGCCCCATCCCGGCTGCTTTGCCTGGTGCTCCCCTCCCCGTCTAGACTGTAGGGCCCACGAAGGGAGCCGCCAGCTGTGCTTGTCAGTGTGACCAGCGCTCAGCAGCTGCCCGGCGGGCGGGCGGGCAACTACAACTCAGGGTCCAGTGGGTGCGAACGAACGAACGAACGAACTAGTTCTGGGCGGAGCCAGAGGCGCGCGCCGGCGCGGACCGAGG